GGGTCCGGATGCCTGGGCTTCTGCTGTCCTGCGAGGAAACGCCCCACGGGGGCCTGTGGGAGAAACGCGTTGGCCTCCCCTGGCTGAAGTGGGCTCGCCTGAGATGAGACCCCTGCCCGCTGCCTTAAAGGCACAGGCTCGTGCTGCAGCTGCGGGAGGCTGGGGCCCACATCCTGGTCAGGCAGGACCTTTGCAGGTTGGGTGGCGGGTGGTCCGAAGGGGCCAGGGTGCCAATGGATGGAGCTAGGCGCTCAGGGGAGAGCCCAGCCAGGAGCTGATTGTATTTCACGTGGAGCTGGGAGTGGAAGCTCACCCCTGGCCCGTGCTCAGACCCCCTTTGAAAGCTGCTGGGGGAAGGATGGAGGACCCCTGGTAAATTCTCCAGATGATTTCTATGCTTTTAGTGCAGGTGCATGTCTCCCTTATCCGCTCCCCCCGCCTTCCCACACACACCAAAAGAAAATACACAGCATTTGGCTCTTCTAGTGAGCAGTGCTGCATGGGGGGCGGCTGGGGGATGGGAGGGGGCTACACAGTCTGTGGAGGGCAGCCTGCCTTGCGACCCTCTTGGGCAGAGGCAGACAAGCATTGTGAAGGTCAGGCTAGAGGCTTTGAGCGGCTGTGGGCTTCTGAAGGGGATACAAAACTACGTATGGGCCTTGGTTGGGGTGGCAGCAACGCTCAGATTTTCTCAGGGGGCCAGTCTGAGATGGTGCTGGGTGCAGGTCGGGTTGGCAGAACCCCCAGTCCCCAGATGAATTTGGGGCTCCTGCTCTCCACTGACTTTGGGGAGGGCAAGCAGAGGTGCCAGTCTGGACACCAGTCAAAAATTGAGTATATGAATTAGAGACACAACACACTGGGGCAGGCCCTGTCCAGATCTTCCAAACAATTCATCAACAAGTGTGTGTGGGGTGACCAGGGAGGCGAACCCGGTGCCTTCCCTCCCCTGTGGTGGGTAGTTCATCCATGATTCTGTGTCTGGGAGAAGACCTTCTGATTCTGTTTGTGAGAGGGGTTATCTCTGCGGAGCCTCTTGAAGGACTCTTTCCTACATTCTAAGAACTAATCAGGCTGAAAATCTCATTAAGGTCCCGTTTTGTGTAAGGTTAAGGCTGGCAAGGCGCTGATTGGAGAAACGCTTTGGAATACATCGTTTTTTTGCGCGGCCACCCCTCTTTGCCGAGCTCCTGCTTTGGGACACTTCCTCAATTTGTGCTGCATAAACAAAACAAAACAAAATGGATGTTTAGAGATCAGTATCTACACCTAAGAGGCCAGGAAAGACAAGAGCTAAGGCCACAAGGTGGCTTTCTGCCTGGGGATGTGGCCTCAGGTTCAGTGTCCCAGGTCTCTGGCCTCTTAGGGGGTGAAGATTTCATTGACCCAGGGCTGGCACTGTTAAGCAGAGGACACCTTGTGCTGTCTGCCAGAGGGCAGAACCAAGGTGTGCCAAGCACAGAGCACGAGCTCAGCTCAGTGCCAGGAAGGCCTTGCTTCCCCGAGAGCTACCCAGTGTGGAGCCGACACTTGGGGTGACAGTGGGTTTCCTGTCTGGGGAGGTATGTGAGCAGAGGTCCCATGCCCCAGACAGGTGGGACTAGAGGCCCTGGAAGCCTCGGCCACCTCTGAATGGAGGAATCTACAAGTCCAGTGCCTGACTGGTCTGGGCCTAGTGGTCCAGCTGCCTGGCAACATGCAGGCTGCAAACTCTTCAGCTGTGGCGTGTTTGTACTGAGCCCTGGATGCCGTCAGAGGCACATGGTGACAGCCACCTCCACAGTGACACAGAGAGGGAGTGACACACTGCCGGGGCGGCATAAAGGTTTCCCATGACACCTGCCAGAGAATTGGGGCAGACATACAACAGCAGAGCAGGACATACGTACGGACAAGGGGACACACCCTCTCACACACATCTCGACACACCTGGGGACTCAGACGTCTGCCCAGAAGATCACAGTCTTCCTTAATGAGCGTCCAGATGCGCGTTGCACTGAGTGGAGAAAGCGTGTGTGTGTTGTTGCGTGAGGGTGGAACGAGGGTGGGTAGGCTTTTTCTGTAAAGGGCCAGATAGTAAATATTTTAGGCTTTGCTGGCCATACACTAGGCTGCAACTGCTCCATCCTGCTGTCATAACGTAAAAGCAGCCATAGATGATACTTATGCAAATGAGCAGGGCTATGTTCTGATCAACTTTATTTATGGACACAAATTTGAATTTCGTACAATTTTCCTGTGTCATGAATTATGAGTCTTTTAATTTTTTCCTGACCATTTGAAAATTAAAAAACATTTTTGGCTCACTGGCTGTACAAAAATAGGTGACAGGCCGGATCTGACCTGCTGGAAGGGTTTGTGAACCCCTGGGCTGTAGGTTAGCAAAGAGAAGTGGTTTAAGAGGTGGAAGAAGGGAGGGGCTTAGTCCTGGGGGCCCAAGCCGCCCTAGGGGGGGCCTCGGGTGCTTCCCTTCACCCTGCCTGGAGCTCAGGGTGCCCATCTATGTAATGCCTGGCCACAGCATCCTACCTTAGACAGGCCTCTGCTGTGTTCATGTGATAAATCTCCTGTACTAAGGACACCCGGAGACAACATTCATGCCTGAAAATGAAAGGACATCGCGTCACTGAGCTCACCAAACAGGTCCTGAGCCCCCATTCCCATTCACCCTCTTTGGCCAGGGGCATGCCCATCTCCACCAGGAGGAAAACCTCAGGGAAACCTGGACATGCCCCTTGTTCCCAGACAGGCTTCAAACTCACAAAGAGAAGGACGAGGCCTGAAACAGCTGAGGCAGGAGTAAGGGGCTCCTCATCTAGGGCTGGTAGTTCTCAGAGGAGGGTGAGGCCAGTGGAGGTGGGTGCAGCCGGGGTGGGCTTCCTGGAGGTGGTGGCAGGAGGTTGGATTGGCCTTGTGGAATATCTGGACGTTCTCATCCCAGCTCCAGGCATTGCCTTAGCTGTCACCTTTCCCCTGTGAAAAATGGGCATCAGAGAAGGGTGGCTGAGACAAATAAAATAAACATACAGTTCCTTTGCAGGCACTTCCGATGTCCCAGTTTCCTATTTAAGGTCGTGTGGTGAATCGGGTCCTGCCTTTGGTTTCTTCCTATCCCTCCTGTCTGTCCCCTTCTGACATTTCTTCCCTGCCATTTCCCCAGAGGGCTGGGCCAGGGAGACTTTCTTTTCCCACTTGCCCAAGCCTCTGGATTCTGTCCCCCACTTTCCATTCCAGCTGCCCTTCCCTGCCCAGGCCCCCATCACCTCTACCCTGAATCCAGGATAGGTTTTCTGCCTGCGCTTTTCTCCTTCCGCTCAGCTCACCAGCCTTCTGAGGAATACTCCCTAAATGGGCAGCTTAGCACTTCACTGCCCTGTAACACTCTTCAGTGCCCCCAGCCCTCTCCCGTGGAACTAGGCTGCAGTGTCCCTGGCATCCGCAGACTAGCACCAGCCTTCCACCCTCTCGTCCACCCCCAACTCCTGGTATCTTGCTGGGTCCCCCGACACCCCGCATTCACCTTCCTAAACCCGTCCACCCGGCACTCCTCAGGGTTTGAGGGTCCCCACCGCATGTTCTACCTGTGCCAGGTGCCATAGCACCTGCCAGTCAGAGCTGGCCCGCCGTTCCGGGGACTCACAGCTACTCTGGAGGGGCTGCTGGCTAGCAGGGGTCAGCACAGGTGGCAGTGCTCTCCATCCCACCTTGCCCCAGCCTCACCCCCCGCCTGGGAGGTGCTAAGTAACCTATCCACAAACCAGAGTCTGCTTCCTGTGCCCGCCCTCCCGCCCGCTCCCCACACACCTCCCACTGCCTTCCATCACTTCCCGCCCTCCTTTCCCCTTTCTGGTATCTTCTGTTTCCTCCTTCCCATTCTTCTCCCCTCATCCTCTTTCAGGCCCTGGGGGGCTATCCCAGGCAAAGGACTCCCAGGACCCCCCCAGGACAGGAGATGTGCCTGAACTAGCCAGTGTGGAAGGGCTTTGCAACGTGACCTTGGGAAAGGCTCTGGGTCTCTTTGGGCCTCACACCCTCACCCGTGAAATGGGATATTACTACCCGTGTGCATGTGTGCCCAGCCTTTCCCTACTCTGGGCCCAGGTTGCCTGTGTGTAAAATGCAGGGCCTGGGTGGAATCATCGTAGGCCTCCCAGGGACCTGGCTTCTGTCACCTGCTGTGCCCAGGACTCCGGGGGGCCGGGCTTTGAAAGGGGAACGTTTGAACATCAAAGAGGAACGTCAGCATTAATGATTAATCCACTGATTGCCAGAACACCCCTCACTCCGGCGTTGGACGCTGACCTTTATCAGCTCTGACCTTACTGGGGAGGAAAGAGGTTCTTGTCTCCCAGAAAGAAGTTAAGTTCCC